GTTCACTTACTGGAAGACAAACAGGTTCATATAAGGTGGCTGCTCGGGCCCGGCCCCCCGGACGCATCAGCTGAGTTACGGCCCTGGCAGCTCTCCTTGTGGCCTCATACTTGTGTGCAATCTCGTAGGCTCGTGCCAGTGTGCGGGGATGCTCTTCCAGGAGTTTCTGGACCACTTCAGCATCCGCTAAAGCATTGGTGAAAATCTCCACACTGATGCAGTCTTGTTCTAGCTCAGTCCGGTTGGCATACACAATGGAGACTTTCTCATAGATGTCATCTCGGAGCTCGTGTAGAGCCTCACCTGGTTTCCGGACCCTCTGTCTCAGCTCGATGCCTATGGCTAATGTAATAGTTACTTTTACTGGTAACTAGTTACTTTTATAGTGGAGTAACTCGGTTAGTAACTCAGTTACTTTTTGGGAGAAGTAACTAGTAACTATAACTAATTACTTTTTTAAAGTAACGTGCCCAACACTGTACGTATGACAGAGAGAGAGAGAGATTTTTAAATAAAAGTTTTTTTATACAATATCTTAAAGGTATAGTGGAGGACATTGTTTTTTCCTGGTGGATCATCAAAATAAGGGGTCCTCCTAATTGTCAATCCTTCTGGTGATATGTTTACGTAAGGACGTCCTACGTGCTCTTCCCCATTTTTGCTTACTGGTGGTGAGTCTGACATAGTGGAAAAATTGCAAATCTTCTTTTGGAAAGTTAGCATGTATGAGTAATGCAAACAGCAACTTTTAAACAGAGCATGCATGAGCAGAAATGGGCTTATGCATGCTCTCACACGTGTTTAATAGGCGTTGCTTCTCGGGAGCGAGTATACGTTGTGCATGTGCATTTATTTTTTTGATTAGAGAGGGTGGGTCTTTCCAAAAACTTGTAAAAATACTCCACTACACGTTTAAAATAACTGTTAAACATACAGTGGACATGATCAGATCGCCCTGATTATAAATAGTGCAAAAAACCTAATCTAAAAAGTATTTAGATTTCTGGTGGCTCTGTGGAAGTGAAACTCTGGCTCGATCCTGGCCCTGATGTTGCACTTCCAAAGAGCCACAGCATCGGGCTGAGGTCGAGCTTGCAGTCTGTCTCTTCTTAGATGTATATATATATCTAACCAGCTGGTTGTGTTTTCATTCTCCCATGACCAGAAATCTCTGTGCCTCCATTTTCCTTCACTAAGACTTTGAATGTTCAACCGCATTATCAGCGCGCTCTGCAGGGACAGATATGTCTGTCTTTTATAAAGACATTGTGGGGAAAAAGATCCTTGATCTTCTGGCTGTGGTTATGCTTCGGTGATCTGATGGCACAGTTTAGGTTGGCACGTGCTGTCCTCAGTGCCTCTTTATCACAACACTTGAAATCTTAGTTCCGTGCTTTTAGCGATTTCCGAACCTCTCTGTTCATCCAGGGTCGTTGGTTGGCACGGGTGGTGATGTTCTTTTTGATGCTGATGTCCTAAATGCATGTATTGATGTAGCCTGACACAGTCATGGCATACTCATCTATATTTATTTTGTTGTCAAAGGTTGCTGCAGCTTTGTCCGTGTTCCAGTCAGAGCATTTAAACAGTCAGAGCATTTACCTCTGCCCCTGTTCTTCAGTTACCTGATCCAGATAAACAGACAATTGTTGAAGTATATGCCTCCAGCACTCTTATAGGACCTGTCCTGAGTCAAAAAGCTGAAGATGGTTGTTTTCACCCCTGTGCATTCTTTTCCAGAAGCCTATCACAAAGGAATTCTGATGTGGGCTACCATGAGCTTTTGGCTGTAAAATTCGCTCTGGAAAAATGCAGACACTGGTTGGAGAGAGCTAAAGAATCATTTATTATTTGAACTGATCACAAGAACCTTAAGTACCTCCGATTTACCAAGTGCTTCAATCCCCATCAAGCAATAAGGGTCTTGATATTTGGCAGGTTTAACTTCTTTGTGTTTTACAGACCCAGAGATAAGAACGTGAAACCCAATGCTCTCTTAAAGATATTAGTGACCCCAGACTACGAGACTGGTGGTGGCAGAAAATGTATCCTTTCAGACTGAATACGTATGGGTGTCATGGTTAACCTGGAGAGGGAGGTAAGAGAGGCTACTCGAAACCAAGAGACCCCTGAGCTTGAGCCGTTATCTACCAGAACCACATTATCAAGTGGGTTAGAAGGCCTAGCTCTCTACCTAGTATTTGCACGTTTATGTGGACAACAGAAAACTGGCCCCTCACTTCCTGATGTCTAAAATAGTGAACCCGGTGGCAGTTCGCCTTGAGCTCTGCAACCGCTGCTGTTTGTAGCTAAAGTGAGAAAACAAAAAGGTGCAAATTCCTCTAATCAGCTGGGTTTAAGTGATGTGTTGCTTTCACACATACATGGTGTGATCTGCTTCATGAATAATTTTCAGAAATGAAGCAAATAAGATAGCAGTGGCAGTAAAAATGTAAAATACTGCACAGTTGTTCATTCTTCACTTCTAAGTTTTGGAATACCATAAAATATTAATGATAATTAAGGTATGCACATTTCCTTTTATTAGAAACTCAAAGGTAGATTTAGGCAAACAACATATACAAGGGTCAAGATAGATCTTATTTCCTTCTTTTCAAATTATTTTCTACATTGTTAACCTACTGGTTAGAGCAGTGTGCTTGTGCTCCAAGAAAGTTGCAAGTAACTGGTTCGATCCCCACAGCCTCCATTCCGGGTTCCTGAGCAAGACCCTTAACCCCTGATTGCTCCCTGGGCGCCAAACAATGGCAGCCCGCTGCAGAAACATCTGTTTCTGCTCAATGACAGCACATATCATGCAGCACAGAAGGTGTTACTTTAACTGTGATCTGCTAATATATCAACTGACTAATGCAGAATAGAAACTAAATGACTGGCTCACTATATTTAAAGACAACATGGTTTGAAAAAAAAGCAACATAACCTCTCTGAAATAAATGTATATTTTAAAGAGTTCAAGAACAAACCTACTAATAGTAGTCACCCAACAAAGTCTCAATAACTGTTCGTATGTTCAGAATCTAAAAATATAAACTTCAGAACGAAAAATTACATTGATGTTGTCCTCTTAGTTTTCATCCAGCTCAGTCTCATTCATCTCCATGGAGACAGGAACTTTTCTTCCTGCAATAATAAAAGTTAAAGTTTAATTATATAGTTTAATATTAATTACGATGGGCCTGATCTTCAAATACTCTGCATGTAATAAAACACATGCAAACTTTTGAGGATGGGAAAAGCTGTTTGTAAGGCATATTCATTGACAAAAGTGTTAGAAAATAATTTGTTGGAAGATATGCATTTATATTAGATACACATGTAAAAGCAATTATCAAACCTGATCTCATTGCTTTTTTTTCCAAAATCAGCTGAAAATTGACCCACAAACAAGGATGCTGAAACTTCTACGGTAGTGTTAAAGAATTGATGGTTCACTTATCTTGCTAATTTCATTTTCACTTTTTGTTTTTCTTGTGGATCGACACTTTAAATTTCGGCCTGCACTTGAATAACAGACCAGAGCCAGAAGAAAAGTCCACATTAATAAATATTTCATTTAGGATATTATTGCTATTAGACAGTTAGTCTGTGCAGCATGCACAACTGTGCTAAGAGCACACATGATAAAATATTGTTAGATATTGGCATAGATATGCTATCTGTGTTTGCTCCTTCATCCTGACTCCTAACATATTTAAATCAAATGAAAAGATTAATTGATCAGAACATCGGGGTGAAACTAATGCATTTAAACCACTGCACACTTGCTCTGCTCCTGTCTAATTACCTGCTGTACCTGACCGTTTCATTTTACACAGCAGAATAGACAACAACAAAAATACAAGTTCTCTATTTTATGAGTCTAACCACATTTCATATCCACTACAAACAGAATAAGCTTACAACTCATGAAAGGAGAAAGAGAAATAGAAATTTAGAGCCCAATCCAACAGCACCCAACATCCTGTGTGACATCAAGGCCCAACCCAGACCAGTTTGGCAAAGGCATCACATTCTCTGCAGATTAGGTGTATATATATTTCAAATTTCAATGACTGTATTTACTGATCAGAGATTCAAATTAGAACAAACTTAATCTGCATGTTTTTGCATATAAGGAAATGACTTGGATTTCGCTCACCTGCAGCTCTTTGCTGATATATGGACAAAAATATGACAGTTGAGATGAAGTATGGACAGAAAACCACCAGGTAGCAGACCACCATCAACAAAAGATTAGAGGGAGCTGAGGTGGGGGGAGGAGCTGCAGTTATTCCAGTGGTAACAGAGGAGGACATCTTTAGGTTGGGAGGTTTTTCTGAGGACGATATCCAACCAAAGTCCAGTCAGTTAAATCTGGTTAATACAGTTTAGCACTAAAAATAAAGCTGCTGACCTGAAAAAGAAATCCTACCGAATGGAGAAGAGGTGATGGATTTCTCTAAAACAAAGATGGGTGACATTAAAAAATAATTAAATGTTCACATATTTGAAACTAAATTAAAATTTTGAGAATCTGCTGACCATCAACAAAGATCCAGCTGGATGGAGACTCTCCATGACCACTGATGTTACACCTGTAGAGGCCTTCATCAGAGCTGGTCACATGGTGGAGGGTCATGTGACCTTTGGGCTCAGTCCTGATGAGGGAGCCATCTTTATAGAAAGCAGCTGGGAGGTTGGAGGGAGTGGTCTTTGTTAGACAGCTCAGAGTGACGTCATCTCCCTCCATCACAGGGAGGACAGGACTCTGCAGGATCACTGATTTATCTAAAAACGGAGACAAACTACAGCATTTCATCCATTTCCACACAGCTTCATCAACACTAACTCCACAGTCTGATCTTACCAGTGACAGTGAGCTGGATGCTGCTGCTGGCTGCTCCCTCTCTGGACGAACACCAGTAAACTCCACTGTCTGCTGAGACTAATCTATCGATCTTACAGGTAGATCCAGCTGGTTTTCCCCATCCATGTCCACACTGAGCCTTGGTTCCTCTGGTTCTGTTCCTCCATACAGTCCATCCAGCAGAGCTGTTGTTCTCCTCACAGCTCAGAGACACAGATTCATATTGAAAGAACTGAGATCTGCTGGGACTCACAGTCAGACCAGCTGGGAGGACTAAAATTTGAAAAAAACATTGATTTGTAGTATCTATAAAAATTATGTATATTAAACTAATCAGAATATTGATTTAGTTTAATGTTAATGGAAATAAACCAACCTTCATTTATTTTGCAGCAAAGCAGCAAACAGGAAACTGAGGAGAAATTAAACTCCTTTGTTACAGTTTTTTATATAAACGTTTATGAGAACTTTACAATCCAGACATATTCTGACTTGGTATCTTTAGTCTGACATCATTGGCTGAATTTATACTATCTTTTACCATTATTGCATTATTATTTTTTCCTTTCACCATCATTTTCAATATCGGTAAATCATAGCTTGTGCCTTAAAGCCAATCCTTTGTTTATAAGATTCACAAAGAGGGCAATAAAGTAATTTATCTTCCTGCTTGATGTGATGAAGTTCTTTCTTTAAATTCACTTTTTTAAATTTACTCTTAGGTTATAACAGAGCAAACAGCTTTTTTACTCACAGAGCAGATACTGCAGAGATGTTTCCATCATGGAGTCACTTCACAATGTGATCACTGATCGTTTCCTGCTGGGGCCTCAGAATAAAGTCCGCCTTCTTCCTCTAAATAGAAATCTATGGTTAGTTCCTCCTTCTTTCTAACATAAATGTAGGTTTTCTGTTTTTAAAGCTAAAACATTATTGTCACCATCACCCGATTGGTTTAAATCTCTAGATTCTTCCATCTCAAAATTTCTTTGGAAGGACAAACCCCCTCGTATCAGCTTAAAGACACAACAGAAAACTAAAGACAGAGGGGGACTAGATTTACCTAACTTCCAAAACTACTGCTTAGCAAATAGATTACAATACATCTCTAAATGGACAAAACATAATCCCTTAGATGAGCCCTGGATTGACACAGAACAGGAAATATGCAGTAATATCATAATCTCAGATTTGCCCTTTATTAGCTCTAAGATCAAACGGCACCCATGTTTTAAAAATATTAACATCAGCTCTTCCCTGACAGCATGGTGGGAATTTCTAAAAAATAACGAAGTCATCACTTATCCCGTGCAGTCGTACACCCATCTGGAATAATCCTGACATTCTACAAAACAATAATATGATAAACTTTCCGTACTGGAAGAATAAAGGTATTACATGTCTGGATCATTTATTTGAAGGTACGGAGTTTATCACATTTGCTAGATTAAATTTGCAATATGGCATTAACAAAAATAAATTCTTAGAATATGAACAAATTAAAGGTATAATTAGAAATAAATTAAAGCATATTGATGGAGGTTTAAAAATTCCAACTAATATATCAGAGTTTCTAAAGGTAAACCCTTATCACTGTACCTGGGTTGTAAAATCTCACTTTCCCCTTTAGTTTGCTTGCTTGGTGACTTTGAAAGAAGCTCTATGGAAAAAAGATCCGTTTGTATGGCTTTCACTGCATTATGTATCGCAAAGAAAACTATCATCATGAATTGGAAAAGTAAGGATAAACTCAGCATTAATCAGTACAGAGATCTGTTGTTGGATCATATTAATCTTGAGACAGCATCTGCATCCCCATCAGACCGATCTCTCTGGGCTCCCTTGATCGGCTCCTTCACTTAGTGTAGTGGGGGGCTGTGGGGCGCGTTCTATGGGGCGTGGGAACTGGTTTGGGGGTCCTTGGGTCCTGGAGGGCTCGGGGAGGGGGGCGCTCGGAGCGGGGTTCTTGGCGGGTCTAGCCCTGGTGTCTGTGGGAATGATCTCGGCCTGGATGTCTTTTGTTGCTTGTGTGGTGAGTGGTTTGAATGTTTATGTAGGGGAGGGATTAGATCTCCGGAGGGGGGGCGGGGGTGGTGATAGTGGGAAGAGGATTTTAGAAGGGCTTCGGGACTTGCTCCCCGTCTTGGTCCTGGTCCGTGCCGTCCCCTGGTGGGGCTTCGTCCAGGGTGGGGGCTCTGCGTGTTGCGCTTCGGCTGGCCGGCTGGGGTTGTCTCTCCCTACAACCCCCCCCCCCTTTATTTTTTCATTTATTAATTTATTATAATTATTATTATCATTAATTTTTAAATTTTTTTTTTGGATGGGGGTGGGTGGTGGTGTCGGCCCTGTGCCCGGCTGGCTGGTGGGTCCTGCTGCCGGTCCCTGGCCCCCGGGCTACGGTGGTGAGACTGGTGGGGCCCCCCTCTCTGGAGGGGCTCTCGGGGAACGGGAGTACCTATTGGAGTCAGTGGGGGAGCTGGCTCCCTGGGAGTGCAGCAAGCGCCCCAGTCCTTTGCTCCCCATCCCCGAAATCCTCCCTCTGCCTGCTCCATCACACTGCCACACATGTAGGTTTTTGGGGAGGGGGTCATTACTGGAGGGCCCCACCTTCTGGTTCTGGTTGGGTGGCCTGCGCGGGATGGGTGGGGGTGGTCCGGTCTGTGTGCGGGGTGGATGGCCGGGCTCCAAGCAGGAATGAGATGGGTTGGTGTGGCGGTATCGCCGCTCCCCTCCCCCCCATCCGGATTTTAGGATAGGTCTTTGGTCCTGGTATAGTTGGATGTGAGTGTTATGTGTAAATGTGTGTCTGCGTTTTTTTTGTGTGTTTTTTTTTCTTTGGTGCGAGTGGGGGCACTAGGGAGGGAAGGCGTGATTGAGATTGAGAGTGTTTTTTTTTTTTCTCTCCCAGGTTGGGGTCTGAACTGCTCCCTCTCCTAAACACATCTCAAGTCTCCGCTAAGTGCGGAGCCCATTCCCCCCATCCTGCTCTCCCTCCGCTGGCTGGCGTAGGGGCTCGCCGGTGCACTGGTGGGACTTGGGGTCTGGGGTTGGATGCCTGGGTGGCTTCTGGCTCATTCCTTGTGGCCTCTCCTCTCTGCTGGGGCTCCTGTCTGGGGGTCGGGCGCCCCTGGGGCCTCGGATCCCTGGGGCCCAGGACCGGATTCACTTCAGGGTGGCTGGCTGCCGGCGGAGCCTGCAGACTCGTCCCCGTGGTTCCCCGGGGCGCCAGCATGGCGGTGGCTGGGGGGCTTCCTCGAGGCTGTCTCTCCTCCTCCCTTGGTGGGGGTCTGATTTCCGGGGCTGGCCCCTCCTTGGTGCCTTCGTTCTTGAGGTCCCTTTGGGCGCCTGGGGCTTTGGGTCTCCCGGCGCTGGACTAAGTGCTCTGGGGGGGTGCCCTTTCGGCTCTCCAAAACCACTATTGAGCATTTTTTCTATGAATAAACTTTACATGCACAAGTTCACCCTCACCAACAATTACAGGTGCTAGGCTTCAGGTACTTAGAGATTCACTTCCATACAGAAAGCCCACATTCATATCTTCAGGTAACACAGAGTACATGTCAGACTTAATAATACTACTTCAGCGATAGTTTGAAGGTGTTGCTTTATTGTATGTCTCGTACCATGTCTTTCGGTTGTGCTGTTCTTTTTACATCTCGTTACAGGTGATGAAGCAGACTGAAAATGTTTTGTCATTGTTTCCTTTCTATCTCCTCTTTCTTTCATCTTTTCTTATTTTTTTCTTTTCTTTTTTTCCTTTTTCTTCTTCTGTTTTTCTGCTCTATTTACATTGCAGTGTCCATATAAACTGTAAAACTCCCTGCATAATTATAATAAAACAATTTATATGCATGAAACAACTTCAGCAATATGGCAATTGCCATACTGCTACACTTGTGAAAGTAAAATCGGTTGGGCTCTTTTTACTCGCAGGAATGAGATGGGTTAGTGTTTGCTTTGTCGCTTCAGTGTGTGCACACAGTCTTTTCTCTGCTCCCTGCTTGCTTGCACTTTCTGGTCATTTTATCTTCTTTTTATCTCTTAACCAAAACTACAGAAAGTTGGATTTAGTTATTTAATTTATTTTCTTTTATTTCTTTTTAAATGTTTTTTTATTTTTTATTTTCCCCGAAGTGGATATGGAGAAGAACCACCCGATTCAAAGGATGCCTACCTTCAGCACAGACGACTTTGACAAGCTTCTACAGAAAATAGCTGTCATGGAGCTGAAAATCCACCAACTTGAAGTAAACTATGATGTAAACGCCACGTATGGTAATGAAACAACGCTGCCTGTGATTCCGAACGGGGACCACCAGCCCAGCAACTCAGCGAACAAACAATTCCCAGAGGAAAATGAGAATCCCTGGACCACTCTGGGTGCTAGACCAAAGGATCAACGAACCCCCCACCTAGACACAGAAAACTGGCCGAGACCACAGAGAGATATCCCAAGAAAAGTGAAACAAAAACGGGATGTTCTCACAACAAATGATAGGCGTAAACCTGCTGGAAATATTGGAATTCCGTTACAATACAGATTTGCTCCACTCCAAGATGAGACCCAGAAGGATCACAAGGACAATCAAAGGTATTGTCAACAATCTTCACTCTAAGCTACCAGAGAAAAAACAGGCCACAGGGCCAAGGACTCTGATATTATGCAGTGGATCTATAAGTGGGATTAAACATTTCTGTAACAAGAAAAACACAGAGGTGTTGATTTATACTCCTTTGAACTATGGCCTGGTGTCTAATGTATCAGACATCCTTCCAGAGATCATGAAAAAAACGCCCGACCTTGGAAAAACTCATCATACAAGCTGAAGCCTTGGGCGACGCAACCCTGAGAAAACAGAAATACTGAAAGAGGATTACAGGTGCTGGTCATAAAATTAGAATATCATGAAAAAGTAGATTGATTTCAGTAATTCCATTTAAAAAGTGAAACTTGTATATTATATTCATACATTACATACAAACTCATATATTTCAGATGTTTATTTTGTTTAATTTTGATGATTACAAATGACAACAAATGAAAATCTCAAATTCATCATATCAGAAAATTAGAATATTACTGAAGACCAATAAAAACAAAGGATTTATAGAAATGTTGGCCAACTGAAAAGTATGAACATGAAAAGTATGAGCATGTACAGCACTCAGTATTTAGTTGGGCCTCCTTTGGCCTGTATTACTGCAGCAATGCGGCGTGGCATGGAGTCGATCAGTCTGTGGCACTGCTCAGGTGTTATGATAGCCCAGGTTGCTCTAATAGTGGCTTTTAGCTCTTCTGAATTGTTGGGTCTGGTGTATTGCATCTTCTTCTTCACAATACCCCATAGATTTTCTATGGGGTTAAGGTCAGGAGAGTTTGCTGGCCAATTAAGAACAGGGATACCATGGTCCTTCAACCAGGTACTGGTAGCTTTGGCACTGTGTGCAGGTGCCAAGTCCTGTTGGAAAATGAAATCTGCATCTCCAAAAAGTTGGTCAGCTGCAGGAAGCATGAAGTGCTCTAAAACTTCCTGGTATGTGGCTGCGTTGACCCTGGACCTCAGAAAACACAATGGACCAACACCAGCAGATGACATGGCACCCCAAACCATCACTGACTGTGGAAACTTTACACTGGACTTCAAGCAACGTGGATGAAGTGCCTCTCTTCTTTTCCTCCAGACTCTGGGACCTTGATTTCCAAAGGAAATGCAAAATTTACTTTCATCAGAGAACATGACTTTGGACCACTCACCAGCAGTCCAGTCCTGTTTCTCTTTAGCCCAGGCAAGACGCTTCTGACGCTGTCTGTGGTTCAAGAGTGGCTTGACACAAGGAATG